AGGAAAAAAGATTCAGAATTGAGCTCGAGATAATTGGGAGGAATTAAGGAAAAAAAAAGGAAAAAGATTCAGAGAGTGTCGGGCTCGCTGTTGCAATCCTTCTGTAGGGGACTGCTCGAGCTAGGATCCACCGTGTTCATCGGATTCCATGGCTGAAGACTGCAAGTTTATGAGTATGGATGCAGAGGAGAAAGAAACAGTCAAGGTTAGGGATTTGAAATGAGTTAAATTTGCAATTTTGTGGACATCCCTTGAATCGAAATGGTTTGCAATTTTTTGTGGGCTTTGTGGTTTGATTTATAGGGTTTATATATGGTGCCGTGAGATATGAAGCTCTGTTTTTTTTTTCTATTTTTATTTTTTTGGTGTTGCTAAAGATTGTGTTTTTTAATGGAAAGGAACTAAAGGCATGTTATTTGGCTGTGCAATTAACTGCTTAAGACCTGTCTGTAATCATGCTTCTGTTGTGGCTTGGACCTACTTGAAAAAGGAACTGCAATCTTAAGCTTGTTGAACCATGAATTTACTACCATATTTGTCGCGTGCAGACCCCATCGAATTGCAAGAAACATCATGCAAAAGGCGAAGAAGATGAAAATCCATCGGGCCCCTCGAAACCGGAAAAGCCCAAAGATCCAACCACCTACGACCCGAACAAACCCGGCCCAAATCCCGAGCAAGACCAGCCCGTAGATACGGAAGGTGGCCCGAACGAGAAGGCCCATAAAAAGCCCGACAAGATCCTCCCATGCCCCCGGTGCAACAGCACAGACACCAAATTCTGCTACTTCAACAACTACAACGTGAACCAGCCGCGCCACCTGTGCAGGAACTGCCAGCGCTACTGGACAGCTGGCGGCACCATGAGAAACGTTCCCGTGGGCGCCGGCCGCCGTAAGAACAAGTGCTCCTCCTCCAATTCCGCCCATCTCCGCCACGTGGCGCTGGGCCCTCCCGAGGCCCTTCTGGGCCCCACCGTCCTCACTTTCGGTGGGGGCCCAGACTCCTCGCCCCTCCTCTGCAACTCCATCGTCGACCAAACGGGCCGGGCCGGGCCTGGGCCCGCGCGGTGGGCCTACCGACCTTGGGGGCCCGTCAAGTGGGGCCCACCGTCGTTCTACCATGTGGGGTGGAGCGTGCCGTGCGTTGGGCCAGGCCCCACTGTTTTCGGGCCGGGCTCGCCGACGGCTCTCGGGAAGCACTCGCGGGAGACTGAGGTGGGGAAGGAGAAGGAGAAGGGGTGTGATGGCGAGAAGTGTTTGTGGGTCCCAAAGACTGTGAGGATCGACGACCCGAGAGAAGCGGCCAAGAGCTCAATTTGGGCGACTTTGGGTATAAAGAAGAAGGCATTTGGGCTGAAGCCCAAAAGGGAGGGGAAGGCCCATGTCTCGGAAGCTTCAACGGTGTTGCAAGCTAATCCGGCGGCTTTGTCGAGGGCGTTGAGTTTCCACGAGAGCTCATGACGAGAGCTCATGAGCCAATTAGAACGAGCTCTCGGAATTGGGAATTCAGGTCTTGTGTAGGCTGGACTAAGCATTAGACGAGAGCTCATAAGCCAATTAGAACGAGCTCTCGGAATTGGGAATTCAATAGGTCTTGTGTAGAGGCCAGCCTAACCATTAGACCCATTAGAACGACATTTTTTTTTTCCACAAATATGCGTATTACATGAACAAAAGTATGACACTTGATAGTGTAAGTATGTATTTATGTGCACATAGTATGACAGGTCGACTCGCCTAATGATTGAGTTATCTCAAACAAGAATTTGTATTAGGTACTTTGTGTCCTTGCAAGATTGTGAGAGGTTTTGTAACACAGTCCACATGGTTGTGAAATAAGTGGAGAATGATTGTAAGTTTATTCTTGGTACTATGTTTGTTCTTTTGGAATCTATACACATATTTCAAATACATTTTCAATAAGAACTCATCTAAGTTTACTGTTTTATTTTTTTCCTCTCCCTTTTTTTTTTCTCAACTAATTTGTTCATTGTGATGGCTCATATCCAAGTTCCAACACATAAAAAGACATTTTTACGTTTTGATGCCCAAGAGCAAGAGGCAAGAAATTTGGGTAGATTTCACCCTACCCCACACCCCACGGATGCACATGAGATCCAACGGCAGCCAAGATGTTATTTACAGAGTGGCCCCACTTAAATGGCGAAATAAAATCTGTGCCACTATATCTCCAGGCTTGGGCCTGGACTGGACTTTTCTCATGGACCATTTTATTTGCTTATTGGATCCATTTCTGCCTATTTACAGTGTTGTTACTTGTTATATATGCGTTTTGCACTGGCCTCAGTTCATATACTGTAATACTGCATACCCACGATACAAATGGGATAATTTGCAGCTAATGTTCAGTATTTCTCTATTTTCTTCCCCAAGTGTTTTTTTTTTAATTATCTTAATGTAATAATGTAGCAATACTAGTTAACATAATTTTTTATGATTTTCTAATGTAATAAACTAAATCCGATTATCCGGCTTGGATATGATATATCCATCGGAGTCAACTCAGTTCGGGAGCCGGTTGGACTAACTCAATTTGGGTACGTTCTAAAGTGGAGTGGTCGATTTGAAAGGTAACTCGACAGACCAGATATGAGATTGGAGGAGGTCACTTGTATTGAAGTTGTTTACTAATATGGCAAGCTTAAGAAAATAGCTGATAAGCTAGTTGATGAAGTCTTAGTCTATATTTCGGAGGATAAATCATTTGAGTTCTATTGGCATAAGAAAAGTAAATCGACAAAAGATCTCATCTGAATTTTGTGGAAACTCGATTATATTCTAAGAGTGTTTGGTAAGCACTATAAATAGCTTACAACAACTTATTTGGTGAGCTTATAAATTTTATGTATACAAATGAGCTAGGTTTGGGAAGACGATTTTTCAAAACTTATCTAATAAGTTTTTTTGGGCAACTTTTCAAATAAGCCCATTGAAATTTTTATTTCATCATCTAATTTATCAGATACTTTTATCATATCAGCTAATATTTCAGCCATAAGCCATAAACTATCATCTATAAACTCTAAATTCACTTATAAGTTATCAGTTATTTTTATTAAATATAGCCTAAGACGTCTTGAAGGAGAGACATTAGAATTTAGAACCTCAACATATATGAAAACATCAGTAATGCTAAGGAGCCAACAACCAGTGGGACAGTTCCATGTGGAGCTATCTCACATGGCTCCAATGTGGGACAGCCCCACATGGAGCTATCTCAGTAGCTGTTGGTTTCATAACGAAGCCAACAGTTGGCTCCTTAGCATTATTGATGGAAACATATGACATGTTGATTCCAATATAAGATCGTATAAAAATCTAAAGACGTAAATTGACTTGCGTGTCCGAGTGTTTACTTGCATATAAAAATATCTTGGAGGGTATATATGATATGTATATGTAATGCCAGCTTTATTTTAAAAAATATTTTTTTAGAATTTACACATGATGTATGTACCACTAGACTAGTAACTACATGCTTCAAAATATGAAAATTCATTCAATCCATCGACTTTTAAGGGGAAAAGAAAGTTGTTGCTCAAACTTTTGACTTAAGTTTCCTCCCTTTGTCTTCTCTCACACGCCTCTCCCCAATTCCCTTCATTCCATCCAACCTGCCTTCTCCTTCTGAATGAACTTAGGTCTCCGAGCCCGTTGAGCTTGGGAGCAGCTAAACCTCAGGACCCCTCTGACAATTCCCCGCGATCGACCAATTCATCTGCCAGTTCGAGTGCCGATTTCCGAAGTGGGTGAACTCCTCAGTCCCAGACTCACATATTCGATTAGTGCGAAACCGACTGTCGGGCCAACCGAATAACCGATAGCCAATGTTGAGGTCCGACCCGACGGCGCGTCTGATTGTCTTGACAACCTTTCCTAGGAACTTTCAAAATATGAAAATTCATTCAATCCATCGACTTTTAAGGGGAAAAGAAAGTTGTTGCTCAAACTTTTGACTTAAGTTTCCTCCCTTTTCATTGGAAGGGAATTCAGAAAACGTTAGAAACTAAGGTAGAAACTTCTGTGCAAGACGCATGCAATTTAATACTTCACCTGTCACACTATATTTTTAATTAATTTTTATATATTCTTAGTCAAACGTCTAAGTATTGAGGTCACGGGTCAAAAAGAAAAATCCAAACCAATACTCTCTATATTGAGGCAGCCAAAATTAAATAACAAATCCCATTTATTTCCTGAACCCAAATATATGAAGCTGCCAGGAAAGCAGAAACCTTCATTTTCAGGAATTTTCAAATCACTTTTTCTTTTCAAGTCCACTAATATTGTCCTAATTCCACATCTCCATCGTTTTCCACTTGAAACACGCATTTTTTTTTTTTTTTTATT